TTGTCAGAGCTGGACTCCAATTATCTTTCAAGATGTCCAAACTAACATTGCCAGAAGAATCAATGTTGCAGTGGTAGATGCGAGTTTTGGACACTACCTGCAATCCTGATGTTAGCATAAGCATAGTAGAAATGTCAAATAGCAGTTATTGCAGTTCACACAGTGATCACTTGCACCAGGAAATTTTAGTTGAAAATAATGGCACATGTGAAATGTAGAAGGGTAACACTTCGCAGCATTTGAATCGTAGTTTACGAATCTGAGCCAGTTGAACTAATATGGATAGGATTAGGTTTACACGTATTCCAAAAACTTTTGAAACAACTTGAGCAAACTGTCCTCATTTTGAAATAAAATTTACTGCTCGATAACATCATGAAACATAATCATGACAATATTACAATTCCCTAGGGGCCAACATTTCATGCAAACAATCTGAAGGATAAAGGTGAAAAGAAGCATTGTGGCATTTTACTCCATTCTTGGTCTGCAGATTGCATGCAAGATCTAAAATGGTTGCTTGGTAAATCAGATGATTTTCAAGACATTCAACTCAGCTATCATATGCAGAAACACTTGCAAATATACTTGTCAACTTAATAATCTTTTTGTTGAGGAATTTTTGATGTACTGCAAATGTTCAACTCCCGAAAACAAGTGATGTAGTTAGGTATATAACCCAGATTTAAGAAAAGAATCTATCATATCGCATATTCAATCTTGAAGATCTTTTCCATGTAGAAAAAATTCTAGCTTATAGTGAAAATGAAATTAAATAAAAAAAAAGGAATTAGTGATCTTCAGTATTTCTGGTAGATATCAGCATACCTTTGGTGGCTTGAATGGATAATCACTAGGAAAAGTTATATCAAGAAAGAATATCCCACCATGATATGGTGTACCTACAGAAGAAAGGATATTCAATACAGAAGAAAGAAGTATATTCAGTTAAAGTATTATCTGCTCAAACACCATGGCTTAATTTTCCCACTTGGAAATAGACATTGCAAAGTTGAGTAAATTCATTTGGCACCCTCGTAATTTTCAAAATTTGCAGCTTTGCACCTCCAATCTTTACATTCAAACACATTGTCCCCTAACATTTTCTTTTTCTTCTCTCAGTTCGCCCCAGTAGTTAGAGCTCATGGAGTTAATTGAAAGCCACCCAATCATCTCTTGGCATAATTCAGAACTTTGCCATTTAGCACAAAGGAGAGGATTGAAATTGTGCAAAACAAAGCACAAAGGAAGGCATAAAGTCCTATAGCTCCTCAGTTATGCAGTTTTTTCGTATCTTAATCAATTTGGGCGTGCAACATAAGGATACATGGAAACTACGAGCCCCATGTAAACTCAATCATTGCAACTTATCCAACTTTACTGACTCCATCAAGTATTTGTGCCATATTTTCATGGTGTCCTAATATCAGGGATTACATACATCCGAAATGAAAAGCTTGATAAGCAATGTAGAAATTCTATAAAACACGAATAGGCAGTGTACTTAAGTCCATTCAATTTCAGGAAAAAAAAGTCCTTTCCACACCTTATTGAACTACAAGTTGGCTTGTTAAATTCCTCATACTTAACAGTAAATTCTAGTACCCCTATAATTCAATGACATTTTCCAAAATAAGCCCTTGCAATAGAAAAATTCATGGATATTTAATGTCATTGTAGTAGGGCAGTAATTGTGTTTTGAGCACAATTTCATCAGTTCAAGTAAAGTTCCCAATCGTCTTGAAGAAGTTCAAAGAACCCTCAAGCATTGACCAAAACATTAGAAAACCCACAAAAAGATGAAATCTTGTACGAGCTCAAAATACTTAATCGCACCAAAATCCATAGAAAAACCAAAATCATGCTGTAAATTTGAATGTAAATGAGTAGAATGTAAAAAGAACGAGAGGCAAAAAATGTGAAGAAATGGAAGCAAACCAGAGGGGCCAATGAGAGTAGCAACCCAGTGGTAGAGATTGTCGCCTTTCGGGCCAGCGGAGCAGTCAGGAGGTGGGTCCATATTCAGCTCCGCCATTTCCCGCTGTATTCTCTTCCCAGAGGCGGAGACCGATGTTGTTGAGGGCCAAGACCTCCTTCCTCCTCCTCCGTCAGAGCTGCCACCACCAGCTACTATTCCTCCACCTCCTATTCTAATTCCACCTGAACTTGAGGTGGCCATACCAGCAGCACTGCCGCTTGTATTCATCAACACAATCAATAATAATTCACACCTGCCAAAATGCTGTATAATTTTGGATAAGAAAAAAAAATTAATAATATTTTTATTTTTTTAATAAATTAAATAACAAAACCAAAACTAGGAGGGGGAGGTAAAAAAAAGGTACATAGTAAATAGCTAGTCCCCAAGATTGGGCTTTCAAGCATTTATTCAGTTATTTTTTTTCTTAGCTTGTTGGTTACTAGGAGGAGAACACCACGATTTGCGTAGTGTGATTTTCAGGCTTGTCCAGAAATGTCCAATTATTCAAATTGGGATATTAAATATAAAAAAGTTACATAAAGATGCACCAAAATCTTTAAGCAATGAAGAGAAGCCACAATTTCAGCCTAGTTGCTAAATGACAGTGTCATTTTTTGTTTTACTAACTAATTGGACAGCAATGGCAATGTCATTAGTTTGAAAATAATATATCACCATGTAATGCAGCCTTACATTTTTTATGTACACCAAAAATGTATTGCTCATGAATAAATTCAACAGGAATTCATGAACACTAAAATATGTTGGGCCAGAAATCTATATAATTGTAAAATGTAGGAATGGCTGCAGAATCGCAAGAGATAAAGGACTCAAAACGATCAGGATTGGAGAATTGTATATGCTTTCTTGTCCATGATAAGATAAACAAGCCATTATCTCATACTTAGAATCTTCTTAACACAGCATATACCATTTAATTTTTGTACCAGCAACTCTTAGAATCACAAAAATTAAACATAAAATCTTATAAACTAAAAAAAGAGAGGGAAGAACACCCCAAAAAAAGTTATCTAAGATTAATTGAATAACAAAAAGTTAATTGAGATTAAGCATTAGAGACTCAGATTGTACATAATCTAAGCACAATAATACTAGTAAGGTCCACAAGTGCAATAGCGTGGTAGTTCCATTTTTTTATTATTTTCAATCCAACCAAATCAAACTAACTTTCACTAAACTTGATAACTCAAGCCAATCCCGTCAGAACAAAATCAACAAAAATTTAATGAAAGAACCGTACTCTAGCAAAAGAAAAAGGACAAGCAAGATTTATGTAAAGACATGAGCAAAAGGACATCAATTATACCAGTTTTAATTTGTAACAAAACAGTATCTTCAGAGTTCAAACTATGGTTTATCAAATGGAATAAAAAAGTAAAGTTGACTACATTGACAAAATATATATCCAGTCTAACATGAAAACTTCATGAAGAAATGTCATTGAAGTTGGCAATATCAAACTACATCCCCTAATAAACAACCAGAAAGTTGTGAAATTTGCTTGATTGATGGCTTGATTGATGTTCTTTAAGGATCATCATCATCACAAAGACAAGCTTCAAAAATAGCTTCATTACCAGTGGCACTGGTAACTAACCAGGTTGGCATTACCAACCAGAATAAATTTCAACAAAAGGCAAACTACAAATTGCCTAAGAAAACTAATTAGTTTATTTTCCTTCCAATCTTGAGTTGATAAACTAAAGAAAAGCAAATCTTGCAACCTATCAATAAGATTGACAAATAACCAAAAACTGAAAAACAAAAACAAGACTAACATCTCTAGATAAAGGGAATGAGCAAAACCACAAGTTGAACAGCAAATGTACAACAAATAATATGGCCAAGTTAAATTCTGCAAAGAAGTTGAGGGAGAGAGAAGGAAAGCTTGTCCAAGCACCAAGAGTTATTAGCCCCAAACAAATCAGCAACTAGGAGGTTTTCTTCTCCTTTATTTAGAGGCTCCTACATGAGACTTCTCAGAGTACCCGAAGGAAGCCATTTATCAAACCAAATTCTAATAGTGAGGCCATTTTTGACTCTCCATCTACTCCATCAACTCCATCAATTGAAAATTTGGAGATCCTCTTCTAAAAGTTTTGTTTGTAGAGCCCTGACACTGGAAAGAGTAAGACATCTGTTTCTAAAGTATTTTTATCTCAAGAAGGTTTGCCACTTTGTTGAGGAGACTTGATTGTTTGAGGCCAAGTCCTTCACAGTGCTTTGGCTGAGTGACATAACTCCAGCTTACAAGATGGAGCTTGTTCTTGTCTTCTACAGAAACCCAAAGGAATCTTCTCTGTTCCTTGTCAATTTCAAGACAAAATTCTTGGGGAATGGGAAACCTTGAGTATAGTGACTATATCACTACAAGAAACATTATCATCACTGACAACCAGCTCTTGCCACAGAACATGAAAAAGCCGTCAACTATTACCTTAACCAACAATTTCAGGGTCATCAGTAGATGTAAACCGTGACAACATCACAGCAGCAAAATCAAAATGTTCCTATTCTTAGCACCCAATCTTAAATCTGTTTTTTAACCCCTTTTTCCACACTCCATCTGTACTAAATATAATCCATTTTATCCTGTGATGGGCTATGCTTTTGTTTCCTAAAAGTCAATGCAAAACCAAAAACAAGTACACATGTAATTTGCATATAAACAGCAGTAATTGAATTGCAAGCTCGGTATATAAAGAAGTATCAAATTCCACACGTTGTTTGCTACAAATAAATCCACATACTCAACCGACTAATTACAGAAAATTCACAGAGAAAATCGAGAAAATTGATGATCTGAATTGGGGTACAGGACTTAATTGCACACACAACTCAAAAAAAACCCCAAAAAGAAAGAAATAATTGCACCCATAACTCGAACAATTGCCAAAAAAAATCGTCCAGAAATTTTCAGCCAAAAAAAATGGGAAATTGGGCATGAAGATTTGGGGAAACATTAGGGAGAAAAAGGAAGAGAAATGAGAAAATCTACCTTTTATTGCAAAGAATTGCAGCAGAAAATTTCCCGTTCAGTAACCGGAGAGGCAAGGTGAGCGGGAAAGACCGGGAGAGTAAAAGAACAGAGCCGCACTGCTTTGGTTTTCTTCTGTTGTCATTTTGAACAAAATTTTTTGGCTAATTCAGCCCACGCCACATTTTTTTATTCTTTTTCCCCCTTAGTTTGAACAAACTTTTTTGGTTCACCAAATCCCCCTTTTGGATAATTAGATTATTTGCGATAATTTTTTAAAAAATATTGTAACACTTTTTTTTATGTGATGTATATAAAATAAAGAGGTGGTTGAAAACTATATTGATGATAAAAATAAATAATTTTGGCAAATAATCTATATCCAAACAATTTTTGTACAAGTTTTACTCAAAAAAATTCTGTCAATTTCTTGTTTAATTTTATTTGAAGTGTAAATTTATAGAAAATGGCATAAATTGAGATTCAATATTTTAAAATTCTCTATTTTGGTTTTATTTAGCCAAATTTGTCACTCAACTTATTAAAACAGACATTCTTTTAATCGAAAAGTATATGTTTTCATTACTTTTTTTTTTTTTTTTCATTACTTGAGAGGATAAAAATACAAGTTTTATTGGTTGAGCGAGCAAAGGTATACTCTTTTATTAGATAGCTGAGTTACTACATTGGTTAAACAAAAATCCAGTTATTAAATAAATGAATCTAAAATAGTTTTGTGATTGTTTTTGTCACTGCTTAAAATTTTACTTATACAATAGTAATCACTATTTTTTTATTATATAAAGAATAACAATAGACATGGTAAAATTTTTTTAAACTCACAAAATACATGTTAAACCCCGCCAAGACATCAACTCGACAAGATCATTGGTCCAATGGGTCAGCAGCTGAACCATGAGTTCATTTTTTCAACCGTGGTTATATATTATAATAAAATAATAGTTTTATATGGCTTTTTCAGATTATATAAATGAAGGAAAATTCTATATTAAATGACATACAACTAGCGATAGAAATAAGTTAAAAGATGATATACCTCCTTGATTTTAGCTCCCAAGTTTTTTACAAGTTTGTATGCTATTAGTTTTTTAACAACTTTTGCTACAAGAACCCCAAAAAACTTATCAAAATTTTTAACCTACACTTAAAAAAATTTTCCCTTCAACTTTTCTTCAACTTTTGTAATATATAAAAAATTTCCCTTCAACTTTTTTTCTTTTTCCTCCCTCACCCAACCCACCACGTTTTCTCTCCCTCTCCCTCACCCCCTCTCCTCCTCTCCTCCCCTCCCTTCTGCCTCTCTCCCTCCCCCGCCACCCTCCCCCTCCCGCTAGCTATGAAGATGGCTGTTGGGTGACCAGATCACAACTAGGGGGAGAGGGAGGGTGGCGGGAAAGGGAGAGAAGAGGGGGAGAGAAAAGGCAAAAAAAAAAATTCATGGCCGCAATTCTCTGGCATCGGAGGGTGACGGGGAGGGGGAGGAGAGGGAGAGAGGGAGAGGGGGAGAGAAAAAGGGACAAAAAAATTGGAAACATGGCTGCTGGATCTTCTAAATCAAAGGCAGAGGTGCATGGGAGGGGGAATGGAGAAGAAGAAGAGAGGAAAGAAAAGAAAAAAAAAAGAAAGAAAAAGAAAAAAGTTTTTCATCCTAAAAATTTTTCTTACAACTTCTACAGTAATCTACAGTAAAGTTTTAAATAAACACTAAAAAAACTCACCTTCCGGGGTAATCATAATTTTTGTAGGTGTTGGGGATAACAGTTTTCCCAACCACATGCCACACAAATTTCACTTTCAATTTCAATCTGGGCAAGAATAGGTTGTCCTCAAGCAACTCTACTCCATTTCTGTCGCCCAATTCTGTTACTCCTCGATACATATCATTTTCAATATCAAGTCCACGGGTGCTTAATCCAAGTATGTTTTCCACATCGCTCTCCTTCACCTCAATGGAATAACCATGCACCATGCACGTTCAATCTCCTTCCACCCCAGATCAAAGTTCTTACCAAGCTACTGCAAAAAATTTCCCATCGATCTCCACTGCCTGCATATGTAACATGGGCCAATTCAAACTTTACAATTGCCTCTTTTTGCACGTCATTTTTTAAATCAACAACATTCTTTAGCTTTTTTTACGAGAATGATAACATTTCTATAACATAATCTATCCTAATTTACAGGAAGGGAGCCCAAAGAGGCTATGTATAAGGGGCTAGTAGGTATAAGGATCTGACTAGATCAAAGGGGTGGTCTGACACCTTCTTTGAATTTTTTTCATTGCAGATAAAATTTAGGGCAAATTCCACTTTACCCCCCTGTGATTTAGCTTTTTTTTTACATAACCCCCCTATGGTTTCAAAAGCTATACACAACCCCCCTCATGGTTTGGATTAAAATATCAAAGTGACGGAAATGATCATTCTTAACGGAGTCATCTAAAATGTCAAAAATACCCTTATGTAAAGTTGAAAATTATTTATTAACCAAGGGGGTTATGTGTATATTTTAAAAATCATAAGGGGTTATATGGTAAAATATAAAAATCATACGGGGTTAATGTGTCATGTATTTATAAGGGTAATTTCGACATTTTAAGAAGTTCCGTTACGAATGACTATTTCCGTCACTTTGATACTTTAATCTAAACTATGAGGGAGTTATATAAAAAATGCTAAATCACAGGGGGTAAAATATAATTTGCCCTAAAATTTAAATCCTCGATCTACAAACCCAAAGAGGGATTTAGTTCTTTTTTGATGGCCTTCAAGCCAAAGCTCAGTGGTTAACATGCTTTAGTATATATGTCGAAAGTCTTTCTGTGTGCTGGTATGGTGCCTGCATGCGGCAGACCAAACAAGAATCAATGGAATTGCCATGTAATATGCCAAAAAAGATGGATTAACTTGCATATCCATTCGTCTGTTGCTGTAGTCTTCTTGCAGGTTTACAACTTCCTTCGTCTCTGCCATCACTGTCGCCTTTGCTTTGCCACATACTCTATGGCACGGCAGCCTTTTCATGGAGATTTTTGCACCTTTGTACCACTCCATTTCTAGATTTACTTAATACAAATGAATGAATGATACTACTTGTTTCAACCACCACAGATTTTATATTTTATCGACATCTTTATATTATTTTCCTTCAACCCAATTCATTTCCTTGCCCATTCTTATTTTACACCGTTTCATTAGCCATCAAATGACTCCCCAAACATTCCACAGAGGCTTTCTTTTCTTAAATGTGCTAAAGGATTTTAAAGTTCTTTTGAATCTTGTCTAGAAAGTTGTTCGTGAATGCTTTCTTCTGGATGATATGCTTCCATGTCACATATGGATTAAAATGCAGTAATTGAGCAAACGTATCATTTGCGTATCTAATAATATGTTTGATACCATCCTAATAAATTTCTATGCAGATTTTGCAAATGTTACAGTATTCCTACTACGTAGCTAATTGATGATGACTGTGATATGAGATTAGCATCAATTTCTTAAAAAAATCATGTTTGAACTATGCATTACAATTACAGTATACTGTGAAAAGGTGAGGCATAACAATTTGGCTTGGTTCGTTTCAATGAAATAAACATTTTTTTTGAATTTACAAGATATTTCTTTTTGTATTTCTCTTTCAAAGCCCCTGCATTTTCTAAAGTCTATTAGTGAAAGAATGGAAAAACTATATAGAACTCCAGTCCAAAGATCAAATTTCCTCCTCCCACTCCCCCACCCCAAAACCTCCACGCCCCTCCCCCGCACCCCAAAATTGTGGTCCATATAATACAGTCACAGTAGAGTTTTCCCTTTAATTGTCAATGGTAATTGTATCATTTAAAATATTAACAAGCAAGCTGTTGGCCACCACCAAAGACTTTAAGTGTTGATAGGGTGGAAAGTCAAGGGTTCAAACCTTACCTTTCATCAATGTGCCTTTAGGCTGGTGGCCACCACCAACCTCTTAAGGTTTGGGGGGGGAGGTCAAGGTTTAAAACCTTGCCTCCCACCAATTGCCACATAGTGGTTCTTTTAAAAAAAAAAATCCAGACGGGCGCGTAGTGCACCCGTTTGATGCGATGGTGGTTTAGTCCCCACCTGCCCCTTATATGTCTAGTTAGGCCTCCCCTTAGATAGATTAGATAGAGTATGATATAAATAAAATAGCGACGAATTGACAAAAAAAAAGAAGAAGAAATCAATGTGCCATTATATGTGGCTGCTTCTAAAACCATATAGGTGCATAGTGTATCCGTCAAATCCAATGCTGGTTCAGTTTCCGTCAGTTTCTCTAGATCCCGTTGGACCTTCCCTCCTTCCCCTAGTGTAGACTAGAGTAGGAGTAGACTAAGTTAGATATTACTGTCTGATTGGAAAAAAAAAAACACTTCATATCTGCATTGAAAGTTGTGTTTTGCACTTTATTGTATTAGTATTTACAATTACTGTTTTAGTGTCTACTTTTGCTATGCTATAGGCTAGAGCATGCACTGTATGGTACCATTGCAACTAGGTCCTAGAAATAATGTTTAGATAAAGAACAGAAAACTGGGCAAAGTAAATAAAACGCCAATCCATGTCCACAAAGAGTATCAGCTTCAACGACCTATAAGTGCACCCATCCGTAGGCTTAACTGCTTTTACACGTTTAAATTTACAGCACTAAAACAAACAGTTTCAGAAAAACACACCAGTAGAACCCAAGAGTGAGCTCCAAAAGGCTTACCAAGTTAATTAACAATAAAATTCATATAAGACCTGATCCATACAGAATGCTCAACAGTGCATAAGAGCTTCATTACAATTTCTATTGTTTTAGCCTTGACTAGGGCCACTACATAACTACATCCTTGTACACATTTGGTTGATAGCTAACCAACCTTTTATTGACCAGTATAACCAGCCGGAAACCAATAAGCAGCAGATGTTAGCATGCTCTTATAATCACATGATCCCTCTTCCTCTGAACTCTTAAAACTGCAACAAGTTACTGTAAGGAGGAGGATTTCGCTATTATGCAGCAGCAGTTTGAACAATTTGTTTCGCTTCAAGCATTTTCTCGTACTCTTCGATAGATTTGA